TGCTGTGAGCTGTGATGCCACAGCACTCTACCCAGAGGGACAGCTTGAGGCTCTGTCTCCAAAAAAAAAGAAAATTCCTTAGAACTGAAGCAAATGAGTTTCCAAGATAAAAGGGCTTACCAGAGCAGCACCCATAGCTCAGTAAGTAGGGTGCTGGCCACATACACTGAGGCTAGCAGGTTTGAACCCAGCCCAGGCCAGCTAAAATAACAATGACAACTGCAACAAAAAAAATAGCTGGGTGCTATTGCGGGCACCTGTAGTCCCAGCTACTCGAGAGGCTGAGGCAAGAGAATCACTTAAGCGCAAGAATTTTGAGGTTGCTGTGAGTTGTGATGCCATGGCACTCTACCACAGGTGACATAATGAGACTCTGTCTGAAAAAAAAAAAAAACATAGAATAGGCCACACAAAGGACAAGGAATCAGAATGTCAGACTCGTCAACCACAACACTGGAAGTTAAGAAAAATGGAGCAATGCCTTCAAGATTCTTAAAACAAATTATATGCAACTTAGAATTCTATATGCCATCAAACCAGCAAGCAAATGTCAGGGCAGAATAAAGACATTTTCAGAAATATCCCCTCCCAAAAGAATGTACCTCACACATATTCATTCTTAAGAAACAGAGGGAGAGCAAACAGAAAAAGAGAAGACACGAGATACAGGAAACAAGCAAACAAAGGAGAGGTGAAGTCAGTCCCCAAAATGAAGAACCAGGATGAGAGCTGTGTGCCAGATATAATCAGTGTAGCCATTCCAGACTGGAGCAGTTCAAAATGTTCCAGGTCAGACCGTCTTAAAGATTTACACTGGCAGAGAATTTGAGGTAATATTAGTGATACATAGAACACCAAGCAAATTAAAAACAAATAAGAGGCTGTGTGTGGGCTCGGCACCCATAGCACCGTGGTAACAGCACCAGCCACAGACACCGGGGCTGCAGGTTCGAACCCTGAGACTACAGGTGCCCGCCACAATGCCCAACTATTTTTAGAGACCGGGTCTCACTCTTGCTCAGGCTGGTCTCGAACTCCTGAGCTCACCCAGAGTGCTGAGATTACAGGCATGAGCCACTGAGCCAAACTGGAAATAGGATAATTATTTAAAAAAAAAAAAAATTGCAGGGAAAAAAGTAAATCAGGCTTGGTGCCCATAGCACAGTGGTTATAGCGCAGCCACATACACCAAGGGTGGCGGGTTTGAACCCAGCCCAGGCCAGCTAAACAACAATGACAACTACAACCAAAAAATAGCCAGACATTGTGGCAGGTGCCTGTAGTCCCAGCTACTTGGGAGGTTGAGGCAAGAGAATCACTTAAGCCCAAGAGTTTGAGGTTGCTGTGAGCTGTGATGCCACAGCACTCTACTGAGAGTGACATAGTGAGACTCTGTCTCAAAAAAAAATAATCATCTAACATGATTGAGCTTCCTGTACTATTTCCATAAATGTAATAATATAAACAGCTATGTATTCATCTAAGCAAAATTATTACAACTGTACTAGGGGAATGGGAAGATAGAAAGGATATGTAGATGTGTTTAGTACAGAGAAAAAAGAAAGAACCAATTTCTACTCTTTCATAGTAGGAACTCAAGACGTTCCAAATACAAACTTTTTTTTTTTTTTTTTTTTTGAGACAGAGCCTCAGGCTGTCCCCCTGGGTAGAGTGCTGTGGCATCACAGCTCACAGCAACCTCCAACTCCTGGGCTCAAGCGATTCTCCTGCCTCCGCCTCCCAGGAGACTACAGGCACCTGTCACAACGCCTAGCTATTTTTTGGTTGCAGCCATCCTTGTTATTTGGCAGGCCTGGACTGGATTTGAACCCACCAGCTCAGGTGTATGTGGCTGGTGCCTTAGCTGCTTGAGCCACAGGTGCCGAGCCTACAAACATGTTTTTAAAGATGCAGAAGTAACACCCAAAAGAAATCAGCTAAAAAAACTGAAAGATACTGCCTCTAGGAAAGCAGAAATAAGGAAGGAAATAAAGACTGCTATCAGCCTTAACAAATTTTGAAGAACTATTGAGACTCTTTTAAACAATGTACATAGGAGACTTTGATACAGAAGATGAATGGCATATAGTGATACCACTGACATCTTTCTATTAAAAAATACCACGACTGTCCATACCTGGGCCAATTTTTAGAGTGAGCTCTGAATCCAATGCTATACACACAGTATGATAAATAAACAAAAGCAGACCTTAAGAAAACAGAGCCTCTTGTAGAGCTCAGTACCTGACGAGAGTAGAGAAGGCCAGCAGCATACAAAAGGAGAGCGAGACGAAGCGGACGCCGGCCGGCGTGGCGGGAGGGCGGCTCGTCATCAACTGTAGTAGCTGTTCAGCTTCTTCTTCAGTTGGTCTGAAAGAGAATGAATTATTAGGCTTCACTTTCTTTAGCTGGGGGAAGAAAAAGTAAAATTTTCACCTTTCAGATACAAGTTTCAAACTTTGTAATGGCACCTCACTATTTATAAAATCATTAATATCTTTTCTTTTTTTTTTTTTTTGTTTAGGGTAACAAAGAGAGATTCTATTTAGGACGAACAAAGAGAAAGTTTAAAACACTTCAGAGAGAACTGGAAGTGGGTCCTTCTCATGAAGGAGCAAAGATAAGAGACCTGAATCTTTACCATCTTCTCAAAATAAAACTGGTGAGAGATTACAACTGCAGTGTTTTACCTCAGACACAAAGCCAGGCAGTATTCCGTCCTGTGTTTGTATCCTTACTTTGTCTCTTGGGGTGAGACCACAGACATGACCATGCAGCATGAAGTTATTTAATCAATCATGACATTACAATTATACGGTGACCTTTAAATTTTATCAAAACATTAAAAATTCTGTTGGTTATAATGCATAGGGGAATTTTTCAAAAGAAAGTAAAACTAGTATTGTTGTATGTGGTAGTACTCTTAACTGAAAACATTTAAAAGATGAAAAATTAAAGTGTTGGGCAGTGCCTGTGGCTCAAAAGGGTAGGGCGCCATTCTCACATGCCAGAGGTGGCGGGTTCAAACCCAGCCCCAGCCAAAAATGGCAAATAAATAAATAAATAAATAAGTTTAAATCTAAAAAAAAAAAAAAAAAAAAGTAAAGTGTTTTATTCCTTTGTAAAAACTTTATCAGAGCAGCCTGAATAGCTTTTGCCACCTTCCTCCTGTAATGTGTCACAGGGAGCATATTTCTATGCCATGATAAAGTATCAAAGTGCCTAAGTTTGGATCAGCTTTCAACATTTTTATCATTTGCACTTTCAGTCATGAAGTATCCGCAAGTTCCTTTAATGTGAGGATTTCTACCAGCATCATATCCTCTCGGGCATCTTCATCCTCCTGTCACTATCACTTTTCTCATTTATATCAACAAGTTCCTGTTCATCAGTCCCTCTGGCTACCTATCTAGGGTCTTTGAAATGGCAGCAGTGTCGACATTCTGATAGTCTCCTATTTCTTCAGTTTATGTTTTGTTCATATGCCATTTTCAGCTTTATCACTTTGTTATACCTTCAGCTTTATGAGCCAATTATCTCTTTCAACTCCCCATTTCTATAAAATGTTGCATGGGTTTATCACTGAGAGAAAAGTAGGCAACCGAGGCTGAGTGTTCCTAATCTGAAAATCTAAACTCTGAAATGCTCCAAAATCTACAACTCTGAGCATCAACAGGACACACAAAGGAAATGCTCACTGGAGCATTAGAGCTTTCCGATTTCTGGATTACAGATGCTCCACCTGAAAATATACTGCAAATACTCCAAAGTCTGAAAAAATCCAAAGTCCAAACCTCTCCTGGACCCAAGCATTTCAGGGAAGGGTTACTCCAGCTGTTTAACTTCCTCCCTCGCTGTATGTGCACGAATACAGTAACAGATGTGCAATGACGAGTCATGGGCAAAAGTGGCACCCTTGGTCACTGATCATGACGTGCATGTGTCACTTACACAGTAAGATGTGGCCTGAAGAGCTCATGGCAAAATTTGTACATCATACAATTATTTGGCTAATGTATCATGGCAACTGAAATTTGAACCATATTGAAGGATCAGTGTTCTTTAAATAAACTATAATAACTGAAATTTGCGCATATCAGAGACATGCAAAACGAAGACTGTAGAACATTATTCAAAAGGATATTGTATGTTGACTAAACAAGAAAGACTGTGTTTAATAAGCACATTATCAATTTCAGATAATTTATGAGCTCGGTTCATAAAAGGAAACACAGGAAAGATATCAAATAGTTGAACAGGCCAGGTAAAGGATCCCTTTTATCAAGCTATAGGGAAATCATAGGTTTCTTTATACTGTGATGAAAAATTGAAAAACTGCTCTGGGTCCTGCTGTATTTACATAATTCTATTTGTAATCAGAAAAAATAGATGAATACATCCCTGCTACCAATGCTTGGCCTTAGGATTCCATTCTTTCTATATGCCAGGCCACTACCTGAGCCCAATAGAAAACCTGAATCTTCTGAATAAAAGGCCTTGGGCTCACTTTCTTGGGATTAGAAACAAGAAAGTAAAATGATGAAAGGTAAAATATCAAACTATTGAATACTTGAGTCCAGCGATCCCCATCAAAGCACAGTACAGACGTAAGAGTGCACTGGCTTTCACAACATGCTCTTCTTTCAGCCCCGAATACACAGACACGTTGGGTTCCATGTCCGCATCAGCCTCTTCCACAATTCGAGTACTTCTTACTGTGGGAAGAATGGCCATCAATTCCAGAAGAAGCTGCCTTCTCATTTGCCAAAGGACAGAACTGCTGGTCTCTCTTTTTCTCTGTAAGAAATACAGATCACAAAAGAAAACATGGAGCATTCACTGAATTAAAAAGAGGGCTCCCCATTTAAACACTTGAAATTGACCTCTTTGAGGTTTTCATGACTATCAAATATCATTTGAACCAATTAAGCAAACTCAAAATCCACTGGTTTGAAAAATACTCACCCTAATTTGTATTAGCAGCAGAGAAAAGACTGAATTAATAAAAACTTGAATTGTAGACACTTTTAAATATATAAACCCTAAAAGGGTAATATGTGTGACTTGGCAGCACAGTGGTTACAGCACCAGCCACATACATGGAGGGTGGCAGGTTTGAACCTGGCCCGGGCCAGCTAAGCAACAATGATAACTA